AGATTAGCAAGGATATGTACCATTGACAAGCTGAAATATGAGCTGGCTAGTGTTGAAAAATGTCCAAGAGAAAACTACTATCCACAGAAATTTATTGAGAATTATACAAAAACTGAAGGCACCAAGCTGGATGTGGCTACGGTCAACAAGTAACCAACATTTATTTATCTCAACTCCAAAAGTAACGACGTCGCAAGGACAATCGTCATCCAGCACCTGTTGTGAAACTGCAGCCACTTGGTCCTTTGTTACTATCACTGTTGTAAAATGTTCTTCCATATAAGATACTCATTCACAATATTTTACTCAGTCTCTCAGATTTATCTTCTATATTCTCCTTATACTCTGGTCATATGTGATCAAAACAGCTTCCAACTAGACTCAGTTATGACAGTAATTTCGACCAATTTTGTAATTATGATATCTAAACATTACGTTTAGCAAACAGTTGTGAGAACTCAGAAGAATAAAGTGAATCCGTAGAATAGATGAAATGTGGCCGGCGGCGGGATTCAAGATACGCAGTTTACAATATTTAGGACTCGTTGTGTGGAAGTAGCTTTAACTAAGAGTCAGTATTTACCAGAACATTTCTTTTCGAGTACTCTATCTGCTATCCACCTAGCTATTGAGTTGTGATAGCCATTTACTTACGTAATGCACACAGGATGTACGGATGTCAATCAAGGCAGATCAAAGTTCAGTCAAAATGATCAACAACGGAATCATTATAAACTAAATTTTGATAGTCAATAAACCAAAGATTTGTACTCCTAATTTAATGTTTTATTTCATTTCTTTGATACAGACTATAATGATTAATAAGGATGAGGACTTGTAACCTGACTTTAAACACAGTTATATCTGTCTATAACAGAATGATAATATGAAGCATAACAATTTCACCGATACAATTAACAATCTATGAATTATTGTAGTATATATTTAAATTCCTTAAAATTATTAGCTTACTTACAATCAGAAATAGTGACTTTGATTATTTAAACGAATGTTCATTCTGCCACGAATTCTGGGCTGAAATACAACAGTTTCCTTGGAAGAGTGTTTATATAGAGAAATTTGGTTCATTTAAATACGCAGATTATCAAGAGGTAGATTGAAGTGTCCACTTCCAAATAGCAATATCACGGTTACCAATGAAACATCTAGTAACTGAAACTGGGGAACGAACTAGCTAACATCTCCTGTCATAAATGTTCTATTTATTGAATCATCTGAATAATAAATCACCACGACTAAATATATTGACAACATTTTTTCAGATATAAATATTAATCATGTACTAACTGAGCTGAACTGAGGCATTAACTTCATTTCATTACTATTTGTTTTCAAAGCAACGTCACAAGGCTAAACAGATGGAGAAGAGTATGATGCAATTAGAAAAGATTAGGAAAGTTACTGACGAATTGTTGTATCAATGTATTCCTAGTACGGTGGCCAGGAAAATTCGAAACGGCACTCCAGCGATCGATACCATTCAGGTTCGTTAACATCATTTTAGCTTGTAATTATATTTTTCAAAAGCTATACATGCTATAGAAACTGTTATATTAATGATGTCTAGGCATGAACAATTTGGTTGGAATCAACTACTTCATGTAACGAAATACTTAAACAGTCTATTTCAGATATTCTACATTTATGTCTAAACATCACCTTACTTTTACAACATTAGTCACATTTCATGGATTTTGGAAAATAGATGATACTCAACGATATGACAAGGAAACTTCCTCGTTGCTACTTCATGAATGCGCGTGTAACATCCAACATGTGATCCTATTCTCTCGATTTTAGATAGGTAGTTTCTTAGACCTATTGTACTCCTAATCACTGGTTGATAAGTATGCACATATTTAATAGAAATCTCAACATCGAACTCAAGATACTGTTGTGTATATTGGAAATGAATTTCCTGTATGCATTTGACATTTTCAATGTAAAAACATGTCAATTAACTATCTGACTGGTTAACACTCATTATGTATGTGCATATATCAATTTTAGGACACTCATGGCAACACTTCTTCAAGTTGATACTTTGTTTATACACTACCAACACTGTCTGTTGTGAAAAATTAGCTCACTTAAACGACTGTCTGTCATTTATTCGGTCATATGTAAATTTACTCTGAGAAATTCGTTTGCACCAAACGTCAGAAATTTCACTTCCTACTGATTGAGATATCACAATTATAGCACTATATCACTTATAACATTCTACCCAATGCTCAATTTCTTTAAGATGTTCGAGTCTGACCTTGGTAATGTTAACAACGATGATAGCCATAATTTTCACCGATTCGACTAAAATGTCCACACTCGAACAGTTTTAGATTGGAGCACTCTCCCATTAGAAATGTCATCTACCTGAGTAGTAAAATTATTCTTCGAAACATACTAACATCGCACCTCTGAACATTCAATTGTAACGTCAACAATGGTGGCGTGTTTGTTTCACAGCTTGTACTAACTAACGCATTCGCTTATCAATAAGTGTCTATATTCATATACTGACAAAACCCAACGAATTTTCATCATTCAACCAATCTCTCATTCCCTTTTAGACATTTGATGAAGTGACAATATGTTTTACGAAAGTGGTGAACTTTGCTGCAAAATGTATGCACATAGGTGTTGAACAAGTGATAGAGTTGTTGAACAGAATGTATTCTCTCTACGATGCTTTGACTGAAAATCATAAAGTCTACAAGGTATATATATTTTTATCCAACCATACTATTCACGTATCTAGATGTTTTTAGTAATATAATCATAGCATTACTAAAACCGTATTCATCAAAAATAATCAACATTGGTTCATCACAAATCACATGTCTGATGTATATGTTTCTCCATTGTGATCGGATACTTCACAGTTAAAACTACAATAGGGATCGCATTCTCGAACAACTTTTCAATACTTACACTGATATTAGTTCCAAAACTTATACAGAATTTGAAAGAAGGTTGTAAACTATTGAAAGGACATTTGTAACAGGGTTGACGTATAGTGTGGATTTAGTATTATGTGTCGCTCAATTTCGTGGATTAGTTGAAGTTAGACATTAACACCGTTGGATGCCGGCTCAGTGGTCTAGTGGTTAAGTGCTCGCGCGCGAAACCAGCAGGTCCTGGTTTCGAATCTCGCAGGGGGCGAGGTCGTGGATGCGCACTGATGAGGAGTCCCATAATAGGACGAAACGGCCGTCCAGTGCTTCCAGGTTTTCCATGGTGGTCTAGCTTCAACTGATTCATGATCTTAATCATTGATATTATACAATTGTTAAACTAGGTAGAGAATGCAAAACAAGATCTAGTGAGTGTATTGGAATACACTGAGTGTTTCTGGTGCACTCAACTCATGGCTATCAAATAAGAAGTCTTTTGCGGAGTATGTTGATCTAGAACTTCAGCATGTATCCAAACTGAAACCACAAATTCAGTGTAGCTGACAGAAACAAATAAACAATAGTCGTCTAAGCATAAACTTCCTCTTCATAAATGAAGCTTGTTCAAATAGAACGCTTGAGGTTATCTCCAGACGCGTCCATTCATTGCTTAAAAACATCAGTCACGTCATCATATATGACTACAATTTAACAACACATTTAACTCACTTAAGAGCTCTGATCAGGTTCACAAATACAACTGGAAGACCGACAAGTGTGGAAAACCAGCAAGCCCAACCACTTCAGACGATGATATGTTTTCAGTAGGGAATGTGATCTACCATTCTATTCAGATCAACATTTTAGAGTCGATAAGGTCAGTCCGATAGTCTCTCCGAGTGGATTGCTACTGTGAAGATAAAACAGTCAAACAACAACAGGTCTGTAATATTGTATTTCTAAAATGTAAGACACAGTCAATGTAACTTCAAAATAACTCTGATACCTACCCACCTAACTGGGAGATGACTTGACCAACATCTATCACATGTTTACTTCTGATCAAACTTGAGAGACAGTAATGTGATAAGCTGGTAACAACACTACTGTACTTGCCGGTGACTAAATAGATTGGTAGACAAGCCGATCATTGAAAACATGTTCGTAAGGCAGTATTTGAGTTAGAAATTGAACATCAAACCAAATGGTTTATTTTCACAAAATAAAACACTGTGTAGTATACTAAACATCGAAGTCAGCTCAGTATACTTATAACAAACGTATGTTTGAATTTTTATCTCATCATAAAGACTGAATATTGTTAGGAAAACTGTCAGCAGGATTCTCCAATAAAATCTAATCGTTTTCATTTTATTGAAACAACTGTAGGCTTCAAATCAACCGTCTAAAAAATACATGTACAGCAACATTTAATTGGTGAGGGTTCACTGACAAGATTTATGAGTAGAGCTTAGCTCAGTACTTTTCAAAACACTTGATATTATCTTTGATAAGATGCGGTAAAGAGGCTGTCGTTTGCTCCTACTCTGTTTTCCTCACTTAAGCCAATATTGTCACATCGTTACTTCTCATAATAAGTGAGGTTTGGTGAGAAAGATACACCTATTCGCACAGCTCGCTCTTAGGCTAATGTTTTCATCCAACTTATTTCACTCAGTCTAACATACTATATAGTATCTCACTTTGACATCCTGAGTTTAAAATTTATCGCCTGATAAATAAGCACACTGATACTTCCACTTATTTACTGAATATACCACTTAAGGAATCAGTAACAACTACCATATAGTCCGGTTCTTCTGTATTTCCACATCACACTGACCTGTAAACACTAACAATCATTTCATCTTATTAATTTCATAATTCGAAATTAGTACTTTTATTGACGAATCGACAAGAAATCACTCCAAAATTTGATGTTGTTTAATCCAAAGACAAGAGAAAACATTGATTTGAGTTATATTTTGCAATGAAAATCCGACTGCAAATTTGATTTCTATTCACAAATAATTTCCACTCTATTCATTTACATTTGGGAAGGTTGAAACAGTCAATGACAGTTATATGTTGGTTTCTGGAGCACCACACAGAACCCCATTACATGCTGCACACATAGTCGACACAGCATTAGAAATCATAGAAGTAACTCTACTCAGTCTCTACTGGCCAGAGTCAGGTGAAAATGTCCCAGCTAATAATAAGAATAAAACTGTTTATACAAATGAAAACTTACATCTTTACATTGGATGTCATACTGGTCCAATTGTTGCTGGTGTAGTCGGTTATAAAACACCACGATATTGTTTATTTGGTGATACAGTGAATACTTCAAGTAGAATGATGAGTCATGGTTTAGTAAGTTAACTTATCTACTCATGTTGAGATAATTTAGTCAATAAAATAATGACTACAATCACGTTTTGCTTTTCTAAAGTTTGGATATAATGGTCAGACTATGTTATTTGTTATTGAGCTACATAATCTGTGGAATATATCGGAGGACTGAGATATTTATATTTTTGGTAAAAGATACGAAAATGCATAGGTAGTTCGTCATGTGTAAGATGCTGCTTATACTGACAACACACTGAAGAAAACAACAAGTTTCCGATGTTTTAATGAGGACTATGAACGTTCCGAAGATGATTATTTCTAGGACAACAATCGACTTCCAATGTTGACATAAACATTGGACGCATACAGTTCGTTGTGCATTTCAACAGCCCGTTCACTCTCCGGATGATCCATGACTAACCGAATTCGATAACATTGTCTGACCACGTGAACCTGACTTGTTAGTACTTGTTGGGATGCTATGGACAATTTAAAACGGAGATGGGGTGAGCACACCGCCACAAATGATGAGTGTGTGTACGTTGGTTGAGACTGAAGCACTCCTAATTAGGGTTATCAAGTATACGGCAAATAATTTATCAGGGGAGATTGTTGAGTTTGGATCGATATCATGAATGAATCAGGTTCTCAATGGTGGTTCACACCGACTTACTGGATAAGTTAATTTCTGAATCACAATAATAATTTCACAGTATAATTACTATTGTCACTATTAAAACGTGAACAAGATTTTCAGATTGTTTTAGCTTTTCATCTGGAAATTCTGTGATCAGTGTGAGTGAAGTCGATCTAACAAATGAGTAACTTGTTGTGAAAACTCATATTAGGAGAGAAAGCCGTTATTCGCTCGTCAATAAATGCACATTGTTGCTGACGTACATACAATTGAGCTTCCATTTGTGAAGAAATTATGACTGTGTTGTGAATATTTTCATTGTTACTTGAAACAATACACATACATATACATAAGATCTGTAAGACAGGAATTGTTAAAACATAGATTGAAAAGTTTCCAACGGTCTTTGTTTCACCAATCTATCTCAATACATTTTGCATACAGTTCTGATCACTGAAACACTGACTCAAGGTTAATAATCTTCGAAACTTGATGCGCCAACAGTTTCATCGATTAGACTTTCTACAGACTCAATTCTCATAGTCAAACAGTATTTCAATCATTATTAGAAAAAACTAATCATAAATGCTGACAAATTTGTCTAGGAAATATTGTATTCGGAGTGTTGCGACCCTAAACTTTGAATCTAGTTTCAAATCAGGTAAAATATATTCCTTCATTTCTAAAATAGATCTGAAGTGATCAAACGATGAATGCAAAATTTCCTTATTGGTTCAATGTTATGCAAATCGGTAAATTCTATTCGAGTCATTTTTCCATAGCTTTTTATTCCGAAAATAAAACCATCATCATATGCTAGACCATTGCTTTTTATTCAACATTTATTCTTCACTTTCATGTACATTTCTCACATTACCAGCCAGACAAAGTGCATATTAGCGAATCTTGTGCTCAGTCTTTATCACCTTATCCATATGAAATAGAATGTCGAGGAGAAATTCCAATCAAGGTATTTTATGCTGCAAATTTGCTTATCATTAATCTATATTCTGATTGAAGTAATTATATATGTATATATTTTTAAGAAAAGAGCGTTATCAAACAAGTGTTGGGTTAGGAGTCGATCATGGTTGGCTGAAATCAGAATTTTCGTGGATCTATGTCACAACATGTTGGTTGATACCGATTTTAATACGACAAACTATTGTTTAGCTTGAGACTAACCTACTCATGAAGTCAATTATTTAGGCGAGATTTACTAGTATTTTCGAGACAACTTCATTAAAGGATTCACTAATTGAGAGATTGGTTAATTTACAAAAGTTTACTTAGCGTAACTGGAACAGATGTCTCATTTACTCATCCTTCTGAAGTTCCATAAATATAGGAGTGGGTTATGCTACCGGATAAGAAGTTGAAGCTCTCTGAGCGATCCTATTGAGTAACAGTGACCCATCAAGATTCACTTACTACTGCATAAATGACACGAACGTCATATAACCCCACTAGACCTACCAATAAACCATGAATACAAGTGGGATGAAACAACAGATATCTGTTGACGGCTTTTGATATAACTGAGCAAAGTATTCAGTGTTCTAATCTACAAATCAACGAATAACTACAACGATGAACTCAGGGTTTATTTGATAAACATGTTTAAGAGTCTAGTTAGGAAAGGCAACGATAAATATGATGAATCACTTATCATGCTTGTTGTTCAACAACTTCTAAGTTCAAGATAGACGAGGTTTATTCTGAGTCTTTTCACTTTTTAAAATTGAAGTAGATTTTTCCAGAAAGTTCACTTATAATATCTATTCACTGTAATCTGACAATATATCAACTAATTTCTGAGCTGTCCTTCGTAGCATGACTCACATTTACACCTACCTGTAAAGAATTATGAAGTGTATATATTTCGAACTATGTATTCATGAACGTTCATTTGTGAGAATATTTTCATCTGAGATCTTCTATTCTCTGATATTATTTCGGACCTCATATGACTAAGAGTAATTCATATTTTGGATCATGGTGAACGGAGTAATCGAAAATAATTGTTTCCTCCTGGTTGCGACTATTCGTTGCAATGTACCTGAATCCTTCTTGATGTCATGCTGAAACTTAAACACAACTCCTAACACTTTGAACACAGGGTTGTAAACCGTAAAGCAACTGAGTCATGATAGTCACTAGGTTTTTCAGGAAATAAGACATTTACTATCGGTACATTCATTCGAGGAGTTTGTAAGTCAACAGAAAACAAAAATACAATCGTGAATAACAGTTTTCAGTAGAAATTTAAAATTATTTCTGAATGTGGAATTGTATAACACACCATAAGTACTATTTGCCTAATTTCCTTGGTTCAACTCTCAAGTGATTGAAACAGTTCATCAATTGTAATATAAACTTGATAATGTTTAACTAATATCTGGCTTATAACATAGAGTGTAAAGATGTGAAAAGGTTTTCACTATATGCACACAGTCAGAAGAGCAATTTCATAGATGAAATTTTATGGGAAATCGGTCAAGATAAGTATTCGGAAGAGAAGTTCTAAAGTTTCAAGTCAGAAATATTTCGTTTTAACTGTCACCATACATGTGCCGTGTATCTTAACCATATGTTTCATAAATTTATACACAACTTGAAGATCCTGAATCATTCTCAAAACATTTTTTAACGTTGATAGGGTAAAGGAAGCATGAAGACATACTTCGTCACAGGTCGGAAACCAGAATTCGTCTTACAAGACACGACTGATGGAGGGAGTCGAAATTTTGCTGAAGTTCTCAAGGAAGATATGCTCAAAGACGATGATATACCATCGGAAAATTCGGATGACTCTGCGAAATTCTCCATCAATTTGTCCGACGCAAGTGGGACTACCGAGGAAGAGTCTTCTCCTTCATCTCCGAAGGTTGATGGAGAAGAACTAGAAATGACTGAGAAGATATCTGAGAAAAAAGACAAAAAATCCAGTAGAGGTGGAAGTAGACGCTCAAGTAAAAGCGCTCAGAAACGCCGTCAATCTCAGCCACTCTCCAATACAACTTCACCAACGAACGAGAATCCCGATGTCGAGAATCAACAGAGCAACTCAGGTTTTGTGAACAACCAAAACACAACTGAGGTCCTAAATGAAGCTGCACGGCGTCTAGTCGAAACGAAAATAAAAGATGTAAAGAATGAACAGAAGAAGAAACAGGATATTACATTCAGTCTTGAGAATCCCAAGGAAATCTTGAAAGAGGCTCCCAGCGAAGCCGATTTACAAGCAGTAGACAACAATGTTGACGAAGCAACTCTGTTCAAGTCGAAACCAAAGGCACCTGAACGTTCTAGATTGATTAAACTCAATCCAGCAAACAAAGTCTCCAGTGTTTCTGTCTCCAACAAACCCATCCAACCTACTCCTGACAAAGTTACTGTGAACAATGTGAGTTCGGATGCTACTGAGGATGCACCGAATGATGATAACGATAAAGTTGCTCAAGAGATTGGCGATCGGGAAGATAGTAAGTGAATTTCCAGTTTCCAGGGAATTACAGCTGTGTTATTACATTACATTACGATTTCAAGCAATGTACATTTATATTTCGTCAGACATACAATGTTTTATCATCCACTTTTCTCTAAGCCATAAAATACCAGGTTACAAATGCTGCTGTAAGCAAACCATAATAATCAGTTAACTAGTACAAAATTCAGAATAATGTGGTTTTGGTTATAAAGCCGACCATTCATTAGATTATCTTTGAAATTCTTTATTAAGGAGACTGTTTGGCTTGATACACTGCAAACAACTGTTTGGAATTGCATAATCAGTGAACTCCTGAAACTATCCAAATTAGGTAACTTTTCGGAACGCGTTTCATCATTTCTCACTAGTTTCTTCTATTATTATTCAAAGGTCACTGTGATGACTTTCTCAATATACATGTTTACAGCTTTATAAATTCACATCCTAATTTCTTATCAATATGTTTCGTTTCATTTGAAGCCGTCCAACAATACCGCGAAATGGTGAAACAGGGCCGTTTTGATCCAGTACCAGATTTGCCATTCTGTTCACCTCAGGCAGTTATATTCAAAGATTTAGGTGAGTCACTCGGTTCGATTTCATGTCTGCTTTGCGAGTTATGTAAATATTTGTTGACCTCAATTATACGATATACTGTCTTCTTGATTTCACATCCCGTTCGTCGAAAACAGAGATATTGTTTGCTGCACAAATTTACTAAGAAGTTCTGAATCGCAATTTAGTAAATGCCCACACTCGCTAATACAATTCATTGTCACATTTGAAGGGTTCCATATTTCTTTTGAAGGTTTCGGATTGCATATACACTCATTACTAGTGCCTTAGTGCCTCTCTTATCCATGATTTGTGAAAGTTTATCACAGCAATTTGATCGGAAATCTTTAGTCTTAGTTTGCAACTTATAAATTTTATCCAATGTTTAGGTAATTACTATCTCAATTAACAGTAAATATTGTCTATACAACCAGAAACGGTTTAAGGTCTGCTAAATTTCTCATAATCATCGTTCTGGTTGATCGGTGATAATCACTACAACTAAATTTTCCAGATCACGTACCCAGTGAACAATGACAAAATGACCGTTCGATGACTTGGTCACTTTCAATTCAATTTTGAAATCTTCACTTTCTACAATTTTTCAGTAACGAATTTCGCCACTTCACTCTACAGATTTGAAGATTCAGTCTAGTCATTCCCAGTGAAAGTTTCACTGAACGTGAAATTGGCTTGTGGCACAGCTACTTAGTTGCGACAAAATTGAATCGATAGTTTGAGAGGTGATCAATGACTGTTTCCTTCATATTTTACTGCAATCACTTGATATGTTCTATTGTAATCCAATAGAGTCTCCTAGAACGGTCATCTATTTCAGAATACTTACAGATGTAATAGTGACAAACTGAATACATGATACATGCAATGTCATATCCTTCATGTTTCCAATTTGACAATACACTTTACTTATACGTGACTGAGTATCGAATTCAAAGTGACTCTATTTAGTAGTCCACTATGTTTTCCATTTCATTTCCAAATGATAGTCATCGTGCCCGTTAAAGTTTGTAGATATTACAATGTTTCGTTACATCGCTCTCATTTATTGATAAACGTAGTCGGTTATATCCATGAATGCGGAATTCGTCAGTTAGTCGAAATAAAACGATATTCTGAATTATAAGCAAAGACGAATGGTGGCTAGCAATGTAATCCAAGATGCGCGTTTCTTCCTAATTGGGACTCGTCAGTTGGATACACCTGCACGACAGAGTTGATGTTCACCGTTCGCTTCAAACGCCATCGCATTAACCACTTAGCTACTGAGTCCTGAGAGCCACCATCCGTCTTCGCTTACAATGCTTGTGACTTAAAGCAATATTGAGGTAATCCACACAATACGCATATATGCCAGTAAGAAACTGATCAATCGTAGTCCTAAACGTTAATGGGAAGATACAAACAAACATTACAAAATCAATATTCTGAATTGATTTCACTGTACTATTGCATGATTGGTACTTCTCGTCGCTACAATTTAAATGATTTACAATTGAAAAGAATTTAATAAGAGAAGAGATCAGTAGTAATAGTATTAGAAGCAGTAATAATAATAGTGTTATTATTATGATTATAAGTAGTAGTAGTAGTAGTAGTAGTAGTAGCAGTAGTAGTCGTAGTATTAGTAGTAGTAGTATTAGTCTTCATTTCCTAAGTAAGCAATCCGAAGTAGGTTGAATGAAATCTGTTTCTAATCTTCAGCTTCAAATTTTATGCGGAGAATCGATGAGAACTTTACCGAGTTTTGGGAAGAAAAACTGCGAAAATTGAAAGATTTAGGGTGTTAAATCCAACGTTATACCAGTGACAGTGCACTTTCTAATGTAAGTTGGTTCAGAATAAACGAATTGGAATTTTTGTGTATAATGACCTCACATAGTCGATTTTTTCAGTTACTAAAGTTCATTTCCAGTGTTACTACTGTAAGATATTTCTGCCAGATCTATCGATAAGTAATCAGTTCACCTGAAAACCAATCATGTTGGGAGAATAAAGTGCGAGGCAACTGAACATACGAAGTAGTGATCAGTTTCGCGAGACATATTTTCATATGAATGTCAGCTAATGGATGCAAATAAGCAACTGCTTGCAATTCAGTATGTTCACTTTCCTTCATCGGTCATTAAAACAACATCGGTTCGATGAATAGTGCCACTCACTGATCACAATGCACGTAAACAACTGTGGTGAAAATTGAATTTCATAGAACGTATTAACAGGAACTAAAGTCTGCTCCCTTATTTTGCACGATTATTTAACTCCTCAAGACTAACGGTTGCTGATCTTTGAAACTTGGTCATTTACTTTGGGGGACTCATTCATTTGCATGTTTGATGCATATCGTATGAAACTTATCAATATTTCATTTGCTCAACAAAAATTACACTTTATTTGTTGGTCATTGAGTAAGTGGATTTACAATGTATCACTTCTCTAGGAGATCACCCGATGACCATATCTACATCTTGGAAAACGTGTATCCCTGATTAGAGACGTTGTTTAGTTCAGAGAATGAAACCACTTGATATTCAGTTAAATATCAACATGATAGAAGATGAGACGAAGGTTGTACGTTGTTAAATGAACAGTGTGAAATATGGGAGACTTCATTAAACTTAATCAGTACTAGGTTTTCCTTACTGATTCTCTTATACCACAAAATACCATTGATGTGTACTTCATTTGAACAATTACTTAATTTGAACAATTTAAACTACATCCTAGTCCACAAAACTCTTCAACTCTCGAAATCTTAGCAGAAAGTGTGAATGAAACTCTACTTCGACGTTGAGTTAATATGCAGGAAACTATGGTATTTTTAGGTGAAACATTACGGTTCTGGAAACATTGGTACCAAAATCAGTAAGCAACCAGTCAGAATAATGACACAACCCTCTTTTTTCTAGAAGACTCTCTAATAGTTCTAGGGAATACTGATTAAAAGAAGTATAGTCGGCATCCTCCAACTTCTGAAGACTCTTCTAGGAATAATCCAGTGTTTCTAGTAAAAAAAATTGCCATTCGCACATCTGCGGTGATTATCCATTTCAACCATGTTATATGTTAATGTTTCAATATTTTGTAGCCTGATATTTGGATGTCCCCGTACATCATTATTTGAAACATAGTAATTCGTTAAAATGATTCCGAATCACTGTAAAGGAGAACAACTGTCATTTCTTTCTCACAATAATTTAGAAAATATGAAAGAGGTTTAACTACGAAGATTATTAATTGTACAGAAAACTAGGGGGTTTGTAGGTGTAACGTTGAGACTGTCGAAACTTACGAAAACATGCTAAAACTAATCAAATCAGTAAGTATCCAATCAGAGTATAACGGATAATTCAACATTTCCCAGAATTATCTCATATATTATTCTAGGAAGCAATGGTTGGAAGGAGCGTATTCAAGATTGTTCCAGTATCCAAACTAGAGGTGTCATTCATGCATCTTCAGTAGCTACCGATTTCACCCACCTAAGTAACACTACGATAGACACGCGAGAATGAAAGAAGTCTAATTATCTGAGTCAATGTTTAAATTGATTTATTCGATTATTGATCAACTAAATTTAACTAAATTACTCATTCTCCACATTTTCTCATTGTTTTTAGCTCAACCATTGTGTCTAGCACTAACCGAATTACTTATCATTAGACCAAAGAATCCTATTATGTATCTGGCTATTTGGTTAAGAAACTACTCTATGGACAGTTCAAAATTTGACTGGGTTATACATTCCGGATGAATTAATATAACTTTGCAATCTTTAAACGTCTTATTTATTCACTGATGTGTGCTTAATTTGCTACATGTTATGCCCGTAGAATGTTTCTTTAAACCAGTAGAGAATAAACACCGTAACTTAAGCAAATCTATTTGTTTTCTATCATACTATTCACTGTCGACATTTTACACCTAAACATAACTAAAGATTAAGGTTATATCATTGAAAAAGTACACAAGTTATTTTAGTGAAACAATTGACTAGTTTCAGCGGATGGTTGATGACAAAATGTTTAATAAGTCTCTAAATTAACTTACTTATTATCTATCAGTAGAGTTTAATTTCCTCCATATCTGACTCCAATAAATAGTATCCTGTTAATTGTGTATTTACTCAGGCTAAATCTCCTAGTAGTATCATAACTTTACTCAACATTATTCAAGAGTTAATGATTAGTAAAATCCACATGCACGCAGAAAGCAAGCACACAGAGAATCCAGTGGGAGAGTGTGTTTTTGTGTGTGAGTGTTTAAAAATCCATATATATTTATGAGTGTTAGTCGATCTTGGATAAGTTATTGATTGTCTGTGTTTACATCCAATGGGAGAAAATATAATGATTGATGTGCAGACTTGCGCCTAATCAGACTCACACGTAATTTTATATAGTGGATTAAATATCTAAAATACAGCAAATAGACAAATAATAAAATGGTTCACTGGGCTTACTACATACCCACACAATATTCATATATACATGAAATATCTTAAGAGTTCACCGAAATAATAAACATTATGCATTCTTGATGAGGAAATATGCAGATGAGTCAATATGTCATATGTACAACTGTCAAATGTGTTTCGTACATAATGTTCGATTTAAAGAAATATTTTAACGCGTTTAACATCAGAATAACTCTTCATGTACCTATTGCAGGTCTACTACTGTTCCCGAGACCGGACAAACGAGGTGGGTTTGGTATGTGGTCAGCAATCCCCTACCATAGAAAACAACCTTGGTAAAGTAACGCTAACCACAATAAACAATTCAAACCATTTAACTCTGCTTTTCGAACTCAAGGATCGTCATTCAAAAGGATTGTGACGACTCGTGGTGAAACATGAGATTCACCGGAAGTTACGAGGTCCATACCAACAACATGGAATGTTCGAACAATGTGGGAGACCAGGAGGACTAATTACTGAGCCACGGAAATAAGGAGATACAACATGACGGTGCTCGGAATCGGTGAAACACATAGGACAAAAGCTTGACAGAAAAGGATATATTAGGGAGAGATACTTCTGTACTGTGGTCACGAAGATGGAAATGCTCCACACACGCAGAGGGTTGCTCTGATGTTGTCTAAAAAAGCCCGTAAATCACTTATTTGGTGTGAATCTCATGGGTCCACAACCATCAAAACATCTTTCAAAACAAAGAAGGATGGAATCACGATGGACATTATCCAATGTTATGCAATGAAGAAGATACAGATTAGTCTTATGAGAGACTGCAGCCCATCGCAACGAAGTGCTCAGGAACGGACTTGACCACAATATTCCGTCACAAAACATACACAAAGCTGCATGAGTTCCACCACATTACACTACAGAGAACCAGATCGGCCACATTTGCATCACTAAAAATTCAGGTCAATGGAAGACGTGATAACCAGGAGGTAAGCTGACATAGCATCAGAAATGCTTCTTAATGTTGCCGAGAAAAACTGAAACTGAAGAAGCGATGGACTGTTGGGGCGATCCAGAAAACACCTCGAAAAATGTCAAGCAAGGCTTTGAAAACACTGAGAAGTATCTTATTCAATCAGCGTTCACTAGACTTGAGATTAGATGGTGGTTGAAGGTAGTCGACAGGAAACCCTGGATCCGGATTTCGTGCTACTTGGCACTCGTATTCAGGGTTTACCTGTCTTCTTAGGGGAATAGGTGCTCCCTGACGGATTCGGTCCCGTGCCACCCAGCTTCACAGTCAGAGAAGTTACCACTGAGATATCCGGGCCGCGACCGACCTCCTGCAGGACTGAGATGTAATCACTATTGACACGCATGACACTGATTACCAACCAGTGATCAATCAGTTATGATTGACAAACTCTCTCCACAACTGGTGTTCAGGCTCTTGAATAATCTTGAGTAAATTTATGATACTACTAGGAGATTTAGCCTGAGTAAATACACAATTAACAGGATACTATTTATTGGAGTCAGATATGGAGGAAATTAATCTTTACAGATACATAATAATTTTCGAGAAGCCAAAGGATATCTAAAATGCTATAAAAACCCTATACTTTTTGTGCAAGGACGAACCTTTGAAGTAAAGTGTTTTTTACACATTTCGGGCCTTTTCTTTTGTGCTCAAGTCGCTGTGTAGATCTAGCCTGTGAGTTACTAGAAGAGCTTAGGATCCAAATCTAGCGTTCAATTAGCAAAACTTATCAGTGGCGACGGGGAAAATTACAATAAACATTTCTTTCGAGCTACTAGAATCTTATATGTAGCGTCAAGATAAGTTGTTTGAACAGTCTCAAATCAAAACCATGGAAGCCCTTATGTAGAAATTCCACCTGTTCCAAAAAAAAACCTGCTTCTAGTGAATCACAAGTATCTCATACTGGTTCAGTGATTAACGTAATCCATAAATTTAATTATGATGGTGTAGCAGGTGTTACTTATGAGTATTGGTTTAAGAAATATAAAAATTTGTTCTGTATTGATCTCTGCAGGCTGGATGACGCCTCAAAAGTCAGAATACTTCTTAGAACACTTGGGACGACGGATCGTGAACGATATGGTAACTTTATTCTCCCGAGTAAGCCGTGAGACTAGTTTTGATGAAAATATTAAAAACCTGTCTCAAACCTTTGAAGAACAGTCATCTCTATTTAATATCCGTTATCAATGCTTGACGATAACGAAAGAACCGGATGACTGGGTGGAACATGCGGTGGTATTTAGTGAGGGTCTTGGGGAACGAACTAGATTTAGAGCTGCTCTTACCCTTTGACAGGGATCAAAGCCAGTGTTTCAATCTAAGGAGCCTGTAGAATTATGGTCTACTATGATATGTGCACTGCTCTAATAATAGACCTAATCCTAAAATTGTAAATTTATCATGATGTAACTGCCTAATCTATAAGATCTTACGTGGAAGTTACATCATCGTCTACACCGATTCATTGCATTGTAACAATTACCAATACGTGATAGAGAACGAGCTTAGGCTAGAGATAGAATATATTTAATATGAATAGAAGACACAAGATAACATTCAGATGGGACCACGCCTGCATGGTCGAGCCATGCCATAAGATTAACTCGGACTAATTCAATTTACTGTTCCCGCCTTTCTTCATTGTTCGGTATTTCCCAGCGTTAAATGTTGAATGCCTATTTTTCGTATTGTCTTGTGTTAGGGCCCAATGCCACTACACTACTCTCCCACCAGAATCAACGTGACGTTGGTTCGATACCAATTTGAGTGGGGATTATCGCACGCCGGAGGTTAGCAAGAATAACAAGAATCATCCGAGTATTGATGAACTGAAAGATGAATGAAAAAGAAGGAGGCAGAATCTGGTCGGGAAATACATGTAACAATTTTAAAACGTCTGGTTTAATCCCTAACACGCTTAGAATGAAAATTTAGGTAAAGATTATTTGAGCTAAACAAAGTGGGATTATAATAATAAAATGATTCAGTATAAGTATATTTTAATAAAGTGCCGTAAGATACGTAGTGATATCCGTAGGTTAATAACATTTCCTGTTTAGGAATATTAAAAACAGCCAATATTAGAGAAATGTTAAAAGTGGTATTATATTTGGTCTAAATTATGAAGTCAAATAACGTATGTGCCGGTAAGTTGTCCATGCGTCGATTTCCAATTACATCTGCATTAGTAGGCTAACTGAAAGAACAAAAGTATAAGCGCGGAGAAGAATTCCAACTAGTGTTCCAGTTAGTTTGATACGGTTTATTTAGATATGGGGAGATTTTCTCGACCTCGTTTGTACTTGACCGTGATAGAATTTAGTAATACAACTAATACATATGAATTGTTATCGAAAATTTTTAAATACGTGAAAAGTAATCATTATGTGGGCTTTGGACATATAGCTAAGAGCGATTCGTTAAACATGAGTGTACCCGTTAGAGATATGCTCTAGACTCAATGTTCTGATTTGCCATAGACTATTTATTTATATTCATACCTATCGGCTGATGGTACATACAAGTTAGTTGCAAGTGTCAGTTTAGTATAAGACGGAATGCTATTTCATTGAGATATAGTGATTATAAGTTACTGGAATCAGTTAGGCCTATGTGCCACATTTTTAGGTGATGTGGTGCTGCAAGATGTATTCGCCGATAATGGTAGTAAAGAAAATTAATGGTAACGTCCGCCTTTGTGCCGGTTACTCAACCGGGCTAGATGAAGCCCTATAAACTTTGCAAAGTTGGATTTATTGAAAGCGTATTTACAAATCCATGTTGCTGATTATTGTAAAACTCTGCTCACCATAAACACACACAAGGGCCGATTCCGGTATAGTCGACTACTTTTCGGAGTCAAGACGGCCCCATCCATATTTTGGCAAGTGATCGATACTATGTTACGGGATGTTCCAGGCTCTGCAGCTTATCTTGATGACATAATAATTATGGGAGTAGATAGAATAGACTTAGAAAAGATGCTCGACCAGGTACTGTCGCGAGTAGCCGAATATGGACTTCGGCTCCGTCCAGAGAAATGTAACTTTCGTATGCAAAAGGTACGCTACCTCGGATTTATACTCGACAAAGATGGTAGAAGACTAGATCCAGAGGATATCCAGGCAGTGAAAACTATGCCTAGACCGACGGATGTCCCCACACTACGATTGCTTTTATAACTAGTTAGTCATTATGGAACTTTTATTATTAAACCTTAACTACGTGTCCCTTAAATAACCGGCTGGTGAAGAACATAAAATGTGATTGGTCTGCAAACTGC